AGAAAAGATTTTAATCATATAATACTGGTAACAAAGATATATAATAATGATAACAAAGATATATAATAATGATAACAAAGATATATAATAATGATAACAAAGATATACAATACTGATAACAATGATATATAATAATGATAACAAAGATATATAATACTGATAACAAAGATATATAATACTAATAACAAAGATATATAATACTGATAACAAAGATATATAATAATGAAAACAAAGATATATAATAATGATAACAAAGATATATAATAATAATAACACACATACATACATATAAAACAAGGTGTGACTTTGTTAAACTCAGCTGGATAGGGGTAAGCCATTAAAATATCATGCTACATTGCACATATGAAAGTTCACATGAAACATTTATATAAATAATACTACTGCTACTACTACCACTACTGCTACTACTACCACTACTGCTACTACTACCACTACTGCTACTACTACCTTAAGCGCTACTACAGCTGCTACAACCACTAAAACTAGTAGTACTACTTCTATAATTACTCCCACAACTACTACTAATAAAATTAACAACTTTGGCCGATAATAAGAGCAGTTGATGAACAAGAGGCGGTACATCTTGAATATTTAACACCCCCATCACTTTTATGATCTTTGATACTACTAGATTCAAGTTTTCCGTTGCCATGGTGATGTCCTTGAAAGCAGACGTCAGGTGGATCACTGATTGGCTGGTCCAACTGCGAACAAATTAGAATAAATTAAATATATAATTTGATGGCTACAATGTACTGGTGTAATTTGAATCATTATTAACCAAGAAACTCCCTTCATATGTTGTACGCATTTATGAAAATGTATGTATATGTATACATAGTATGTGTTGGTAATAGACCATAATTTTTACAATATTTTATAAATTCTACCGAATGTTTGGCGTTAATATGTTAATTAAAAAAAAAACGAACTACAAACATATTAACATAGCATGTATGTATGTATGTACTTAGGTAGGTACGTATGTATGTATGTATACATCTATTTTTGTATGCATATACGAATGTATGAAATTACTTGATAGAGCAGAGATTATTGATAGTATAAGATTTAAACTGTACTCCATTCATTTCGCTATCTTCAATGCTCAGGCAGTCTTCTGGCTCCAACAATGATAACGTCTTTGCCAGTAGTTCTAAAAATCTGAAGAGAAATAAAATTATTATCTATTTATTAATTTATTATTAATTATTAATAATAATTCTTATTATTATTGTTAATTCTTACAATATTTTTAAAACTGCTTGATTAAGACATATAAGAAAAGATTTTAATCATATAACATAATTATAAGATAAATTGATACTGAACAACTAACTACATCTAATTAATCAAATGAATAACAAAATTATGATAAAAGTAATTATTACTATTACAAATATAATAATAAATAATGATAGATACGTGATATTTATGAAAAAATTTAAAAGTATGGAACCTGAAACATTTCAAATTGCCATCTTTCAACATATTGAGGATTTCGTTGGTCAGCTCAATGAGACACCACGTTGATAATTCATCCATCTTATTGTTTTTTAGGGTTTTTTTTATAAAAATATTATATTTAAATATTACAATTTAATTAAAAAAAAATATATAAAGCTTATATAAGAAAATTTAAAAAAATTCATTTTAAAATAGCATGTAGAATCGGTTTTCGAAAGAAATACTGAATAAGATTTGATTGGATGAAACTTTTGCCAATAAAAATTACCTATTAAAAAACATCAACCAATCAAAACTGCCCATTCAAACTGGCCAATTACCTCAATCAATAGCAAGCTGATGACATCCATGGCTAATTTTGATTGGATATCGTAGTTACTAAGAGCCTTCATTACCTCTGAGATTAGAAACAGTTTTTTCTGCATGTAATTATCTTTTATTGGGTTGTGACTAAATCCTAAAAAAAAAGGGCAATTTTATTTTATTTTCGATTTTTAGTTATTTTTTTATTAAAATCATAATTATAATCCTAGATATCTGATAATTACCAAAAATTTACGCATATTAAAAAATTTACAAACTATAAAAATCTTGTCTTATATTAAGCTTTAGACTTTATTGGTCATTACATATGTAAAAATCAAGCTAAGCGAGACTTAATACAGCCACACTTAGATTGAAGGAGAATGAGAAAAAGAGAGAGGAGAGAAAACAAAGAGAAAATGATATATTAATTTATTATTACTTATTAATAATAAATATTCCATAATTCAAACAGTTATCATATAAAAAATCTAACCAACCTGCGAAAAGAGCTGTGATAACCTTGGTTAGGTCATTACTGTTTGATGAGACTTTCCTTTTGATTAGATCTGATATCTTCATTTGTTTCATGTGTTTGTGTGTATGTGTGTGTGTGTAGATAATATTATAAATCCATAATCTTATTATTATAAGCACTATTTAAATTTTAAATTCAAAAGGTTCTATCATACTGCGTTGAATAAATATTAAATAAATAAAAATATTAAATAACAATAAAAGAACAAAAATATATTAAAAAATGTAAAAGTACAAAATACTTAATAATAAACCTCATCAATACTAAGACGAGAAGTGACAGAACCCAGCTGAACAAGATCATTGGCTTCATGAAGGGAAATTAATTTAGCTTCCATCTTTACTTTGGTCTGTTACTTTATTATTAGTTTTTTATTTTATTCTCTATTTATTTTTCTGTTAATTCAATTTAATTATTTCATTAATTTAATATTTTATTAATTCGATAATTTATATTTTGTTTAATAAATAAAATAGTTTATATGACATAACTACATTGGCTCACCTTTTTAATTTCAGTTTTTAACTTTTTTTTAGCAGAGTGATGGCGAACAATTTCAAAAATAAGAAGCAAAGTCTACAAATTAAGTCTTCTCGCTTTTCACTAATCTTTAACTAATTTTATTAAACGATGAAAATGACAAAAAACGAAACTCCGTTTCGACAAAAAATTCTAACTATCGCGCTGATAATATTAAAAGTGAACTTTCATTCAATAATATACCATGGTCCGAAGTCCAATCGAATGTGAGATTAGCATTACTTAGAATAAATCAGAGATTTGATTCCAATTTGAGGTTGTTTGTAACAGATTTTCAGTACGTTAAGCGGTATTTGCAAATAAAAAACTTGTTTTTACGTTGTCAAATCGTTATCAGTCAATCAATTTTAATCAATTATGTATCGACTATTCCGTATATTTCGATCAACCCATCGCTATAATCGGTCAATCAGTCGGTCAATCAATTGTTCAATTCTATTTATAAAACATCAATTTATTAACGAATCCATCAAACTCAATCCAACGCTTAGATAAATTCGTTAATCCGAAAATTCTGGGGTTAATCGATCGATTAATCAACAAATTCTCAATAACCTTTCATTAATACATCCAGCAATAGCAATAAATCATCAAATTTTTCTATTTTTCGATTCATTCTCGATCGATTTACACTTCATCTGATCCAGAAGTCAAACTAAAGATATGTATCAAGTCATCTCACCAATCAATTAACATCAGCCAACAATCAATCAATCAATCAATCAATCAATCAATCAATCAATCAATCAATCAATCAATCAATCAATCAATCAATCAATCAATCAATCAATCAATCAATCAATCAATCAATCAATCAATCAATCAATCAATCAATCAATCAATCAATCAATCAATCAATCAATCAATCAATCAATCAATCAATCAATCAATCAATCAATCAATCAATCAATCAATCAATCAATCAATCAATCAATCAATCAATCAACCAACCAACCAACCAACCAACCAATCAATCAATCAATCAACCAACCAACCAATCAATCAATCAATCAACCAATCAATCAATCATCAATCAATCCATCGTCCAATCATCTACTTCATTTTTATACGTTAAGCCGGTTCTTTAACTCAACTTTTCACTCGAGCAGCCGGCTAAACAGCCAAATTATCAATCATCTAACTCATTCAACCAATCTCCGCCTACACGCTGCATTCAAAATTCATCGAAAAAAAAAATCAAACAAAAAATGTTTACAAAAGCACATTTACACAGTGTAAATGAGGTTCATACGTCTTTTTAAACAACTAGAAATTATTTTACAAAATTCGAACAAAATTTAAAACTCCACGATAATATTTGTATGAGATTTTCTCCAAACTTCGTTTTCGTCTTATCAATTATTGTTCTTTTCTTTTTTATTTCAAATTAAACTTTCACGCAACGCACACACACTTTCTCTCTCTTTCTCTCTTTCTCTCTCTCACACACACACACACACACATTTGTATGTAACATCCATACACCGCACGACGTACACACATATACGAATAAACAGTGTGAGTTAACTAATCAAACGCATTAAAGATATGTATTAATACTAATAAGTGTGTGTATGTGTTTATGTTTGAATGTATGTGTGTGTGTGCATTTGTGTGTGTGTGTATGTGTTTATATTTGTATGTATGTGTGTGTGTGAGGTGTGTGTGTGTGTGTGTATTTAACTAGTCGTCAAGTTCATAAGTTGGAATGAATCTAAGTTGTAATTAATGTATGATTATCGCTTGTTTTTGTTGGTTAGTATAATAACCAGCAGAGATGAAACAATAAAATTTATTGTTAAGCTATTCACTCTGTAGTAATACAGATGGAGAGAGAGAGAGAGAGAGAGAGAAAGGAAGAGAGAGACATACATACATACATACATGCATGCCCAACCATGGCTTGTTCATCAAAACGGGTTCATACATACATATATACACAAATTCATACATACATACACACACACTAGCATGTATGTATGTATGTATACATGTATATAATTTTAATTCAAAAAGGTTTGGTTTTTACGCTCCAATGAGCAGAATGTTACGGACACCCTTTCCCGTGATGTTAACTTAGTGTAAGATGTTAACTTTATGTAAATCATATTTCTTGGTAAGCGTTTAGGAAATGGACCAAAGTCAAAATCAGGTTCCTAATTTGTGATGTCTGTCGTTTATATCTTGTAAAAAATATGTTGGGACTATGAAGCCCCGAATCTATTTATAATAATATGGTTTTATATGTGTTTTTCTGGTTTCCACTTTCGATTCTACTGTGTGAATTTGAAATTATATGATAAATCGTTTATCTATCTATCCATCCATCCATCAATCAATCCATTCATTTATTCATTCATCCATTCAATCAATCAATAAATAAAAGAATCATTCATTCGTTCATTCATTCATTCATTCATTCGTTCGTTCGTTCGTTCGTTCGATGGTTCGTTCGTTCGTTCGTCCGTTCGTTCATTCATTCATTCATTGCTTCATTCAATCATTCATTCTTTGTTTTTTTTTTTCCTTAATTTTATTTATCAGATAAATTACGCCCAAAACGCTGCTGGCCTGGCCAATTACAATGTTGACGGTCCAAGAATTTTCTTCATCCCCTACATATTTAACAACGGCAGTAATAACTACAATCGGTGTGACCAAAAATTTTCCATTCATTCATTCATTCATTCACTCATTCATTCATTCACTCATTCATTCACTCATTCATTCATTCCCTCATTCATTCACTCATTCATTCATTCCCTAATTCATTCACTCATTCATTCATTCCCTCATTCATTCACTCATTCATTCATTCCCTCATTCATTCACTCATTCATTCATTCCCTCATTCATTCACTCATTCATTCATTCCCTCATTCATTCACTCATTCATTCATTCCCTCATTCATTCACTCATTCGTTCACCCAGTCATTCACCCGTTCATTCACTCATTCATTCACTCATTCATTCACCCGTTCATTCACTCATTCATTCACCCATTCATTCATTCATTCATTCATTCATCCATTAATCTATCTATTTATTCATTCATTCAATCATTCATTCACCTATTCATACATTTTTGAAGCAAAATTTTTTTCAATAGAATCCATAAAACCAAACAAAGAAAAAAAATGAAACCAGTTGCAATCGAAATTGAACTTCCTTCTTCTAATCCAACCCAACCAGCACAAACAGACTGACAGACGAAAACAACAACAACAAAACCAACAACAAAACAGCAGTCGTCAGAAGAGCCAGCAACTCCAAACTGCGTGCAACGAGAAGAAATGCAACTCAGACGGGACTAACACCCAACCAGATCACCTGGATTGTACTGGGAACAATCGCCGGTCTCATCCTTCTTGGAACGGTCATCTTCCTAATTGTGTACTTTGTCACCCTCAACAAAACAGCCAACCAACCCACAAATGGTTTGTTTCATTTTGGGTTTATAATTCCACGATAAAAATGAGTTATACATACGATTACAAATTAAATTTGCAATTTACAAACAGTAACAATTTAATTGGATGTGATTTGAGATAATTTTTCGATAAATTAAAATAATCATTTTCATATTCGTTATAATTATTTTTCTGCTTACCTACCTGAAACAATCATGACGACGCTTCTGCTGCTGGCGGCCAGGTTGTCTGACTGAAGGCTACGTACATTACTGTAACGCCACTGGCGCCTGCATCAGCCAGAAGCAGCTGTGCGACCGTTACCAAGATTGTCCAGATGACTTCGATGAGTCTAATTGCTGTTAGGGGCTGATTATTCATTCATTTGTTCATTCATTTGTTCATTCATTTGTTCATTCAATTGTTCATTCATTCATTTGTTCATTCATTCGTTCGTTCGTTCGTTCGTTCATTCATTCGTTCTTTCGTTCAACCATTCATTCATTTATCCGATCTATCATTCTTTCATTTGCATGTTCACTCATTTTTTTCATTCGTTCATTCATTCATTCTTCAATCGCCGAACGAATCAATCAGTCATTTATTTGTTCATTCATTCATTCATTCATACATTCATTCATTCATTCAATCATTCATTCAATCAATCACTCACTCAAACAATCGACCAACCAATCAGCTTGCGACACGTCATTCCAATATGGCTGTCGTAACGGAAGATGTATTTATAAGGAGTTCCTATGCGATGGAGTTAGTGACTGCCCGCTGGGTGATGATGAAACTGATAGTAGCTGTGGTATGTTTATTGTTTCTTCTGTTAAATCTTATGTTTATTATTTATGTTTATTGTTTATGTTTACTCTTTATGTTTACTGTCTATTGTTTATATTTGCTGTTTGTTGTTTATGTTTACTGTTCATTGTTTATGTTTACTGTTTGTGTGTATTGTTTGCGCTTTTGTTCAAGGTGTATTTTGTTCCACGTTTATACCTTATCTTTACAACAACAAATGCCATTCCAATTTCTACCCCTACAACACCAACAACAACACACGAAAAACAATACAACACACACACACGCCAGCTCAACAGCATAAAGAAAACAACATAACATAACACCACCAACAACAACATCAGTCCAGTGCACAACTAGCCAGTTCAAATGCAAGAAGGGAAACAAATGCGTCGACCAGCAATTCAGATGTGATGGTGTTTCACAATGCCCAGACTCCTCTGATGAAAGTTCATGCTGTTAGTGTTGTATGTGATGATCAACCTCATCATTATCATCATCCTCACCATCATCATCCTCACCATCATCACCATCATCATGCCAGTATCGTTATCAGCACCAAGCAACATAACGAAGGCCCAGTTTAACGGAAGTGTTGGTTATGATTATTATATCTGCGGTGATGATTATGATATTAAGTTCGACGCGCCCGTCTGCAATATTGCTGGCTATGAGTTAGTTGATTGGTCGATTGGTTGATTGGTGGAATGGTTGGCTGGTTTGTGATTGGTCGATTGATCGAGTGGCTGATTGGTTGGCTGGTTTGTGGGTTGAATGTTGGTGTGTTTGCTGACTGGCTGGCTGGCTGGTTGATTGATTAACTGACAAATTGATTGGTTGATTGAACACTTGATAGATGAATTTTACAAATACTCAATTAAACTAATTAATTAATCAATTAGTCAATCAATCAATCAATCAATTAGTCAATCAATCAATCAATCAATTAGTTAATCAATCAATCAATTAAGAAATAAATTGGTGAAACCCATAACCTAACAGTACTAATATAACGAGCTTATTGCTGCCAGCAAATAATAACGGAACCAATGCGAAGTATTTGTCCATCACAAATATTGACACCAACGGATCGGTGCCTGTTGTAACTTTTGCCTCAAAAAGGTTTCGAAATTAGTTTTTTCATTCATTTAGTCAATCAGTCATTCATTTGTTTGTTTACTCGTTCATTCATTCGTTTATTCATTTATTTATTCGTTCATTCATTTATTCATTCATTTGTTAGCTCGTTCATTCTATCGTCCGTTCATTCAATTGTTTCGCTAAAACTATATATAAAACTGTTGTAACTTTAGCTATTAACAGCTATGAAGATTAGTTTATTTGTTAATTCATTAGCACACTCGTTCACTCATTCATTTGGTCAATTTGTTCGTTCGTCAAATCCTTCATTCGTTCGTTCATTCATTCATTTATACATTCATTCATTTATTAGTTGTTATTATTATATGGTATTTTAATTATTTAGTTTAATACTCCACTCAAACGGACACTTATTTTTATTTTAATTAAATTTTTTAGCGGCGTTTGTTCCAAGGTTGTTTCACTAGTGTGTGGTTCATACAGTAAGTTGATTGCTTGTCTGTTCCTTATTTCACTCATCCGGTCGTTCATTTGTTCATCCATCGTTCGTTCATTCATTCCTTCATTCCTTTACTTATTCTTGCTCGCTCACTCACTTATTCAGTCACTCATTCAAACGTTTATTCAATCATTCAATTCATTGTTTACGTCATTCACATTATTCAGTCACTCAGCGGTAAATTAAAATACAACAAAGAATGAAGTAACACACACACGCACACAAACACATCCACGCACACACACACTCACGCACATCCACGTACACACACACATCCACACACACTCACACGCACACACACAGCCTGTGGCAGCAGACCACTAAACAGTTCGCTGCCCTACAGCTCGTACATCATCAACGGGTTGGCGGCCTCAGCCGGGGCATGGCCCTGGTTAGGCCTTTTTGAGACTGCCACCTCGCTCTGTGGGGCCACACTGATCAATCATAATTGGGCCCTCACCGCGGCACACTGCGTATTGGATACCCAAGGAACCATCAAAACCGGGTCAGGAGGATGTTTAGGATTGTGATTTTGAGTGTGTGTGTGTGATCGTATGCGATTGTAGTTTCTTTGCATGTGGATTTTAAAAATTTAAGGGCTACCATCGTGCGATTGGTCGCCTAAAAACATCAATAGGCGGCTTCTCAAAACCACAACATCACAAAAACACAACAGCACAACGACAGTAACATTCGGTTCGACGCTACTCGACTACAAAACCGACCCACAAGCCGAATCCTACGTTGTCGAATCATTTCTAGTTCATCCAGAATATACCGGGTCAACGGGCAACGACATAGTCGCGGATTTCGCGTTAATGAAGTTGGCAAGGAGTGTCGTGTATACGAATTTTATAGCACCTGTTTGCTTGCCCGGGCCTAACGATAATAATAATCTGGATCTGAAGTATAAAGTGTGTGCTAGCATTGGGTTTGGGAATACTAATAAAGGTTTTCATTTATTTAACAAAAGTCATCAGTCATCCATTAGTTATTTCATCAATTCATTCATTCGACTCACCAAAAATTAGCCTCTCAACCAACCAATCACAATCAATCACCCCGCCCACTCAACCAACAAACCAACCAATCAAGGCCAGACTTCAACTCGCCTTCTCCAATCACGAATGAACATAAAAAGTGACGCCCAGTGTATAAGCCTCTTGACCACGTACGATAACCCGACTAGCTACCTGAAGAAGCTTTGCATCGGATCGGACCCTGGCTACATGCTTAACAACATCTGCTTCGTAAATATCATCCACATTTCTATAATTATCAACTTTTATTATAAATAATTAGTTCTAGTTTCAGTAGCAGAAGCAGCAGCAGCAGCAGTAGCAGCAGCAGTATTAGTAGTGGTAGTGATAAATGGTAATAATACAAATTAAAAATCAGATAGGGCAAAAGAATAGTACTAAATGTTTTATCATTTTCTTGCCCCTATGGAGGCCATCAACTCAGAAGATCATTTCCACTAACTTTTAACTTTTTCACTTCCTTACTAGGGTGACAGTGGGGGGCCCCTCAGTTGCAAGGGGGAGAATAATTTGTGGTACTTAGTCGGGGTGCATAGCTACGTTTTTCCAAAATCAACGAGTAACTATGGAAACGGTGATGTGCGTAACTGCGAAGTCTCAGTGGCAGCCCGAGTCTGGCCGTTCAGAGATTGGATTATTAGTAATGCTGTCTGATTGGCTGATTGGTTGGTTGATTGGATTGTAAGCTGGTTATTTGAGTGGTTGGTTGGTTGATTGGATTGTAAGCTGGTTATTTGAATGGTTGGTTGGTTGATTGGATTGTAAGCTGGTTATTTGAATGGTTGGTTGGTTGATTGGATTGTAAGCCGGTTATTTGATTGATTGGTTGTTTGATTGATTGATATGTTAGATGATTGATTGATCAATCGGTCAATTAGATGATAAAAGAATGATTATTTTAAATATTTTATTAGCTTATGTACGCATATTTTGACGAACTTTTTTATAAGGTAATTGTTTTATAGATATAGTAACTTTACAGTAGTATTAGCTTTAGAGAACTTCTTTGATCAATCATTATTTAAAGTAAATAAATTAATTTTTTTTCATTTTACGATTAATCAACGAATTATACTACTGCTACCAAAACAACCACAAAAGCTACTACTACAATTACTACTACTATTACTACAACAACTACTACTTCTACTACTACTACTACTACTACTACTGCTTCTACTACTACACTACTACTTTTACTACTATTACTTTAAAGTAAGGCAGACAAAAACCATAACGAATTAAGAAATGAAATTATTGGAAAATCTTGGCAATAAAGCGAGAAAAAAGAACTGCAAACTTTTTTTGCAAGCAAATCATTGGCATAAGAATAAAAATGAAAAATGTTGACATTGAAATTAAATAAATTAAAGGCTTCTACTAAATAATTTTAGATTTCCACAAATCATAATAATCATAGATCTCCGCTAAATAATTAGGAGCTTACACTTTTTAAGTGCCCTGTGGTTTACCATATTTTAAATGCGAACGGTGCGAACGTGGTCTCGTTCGTTCTGGAATACGCCATGCAGGTTATAAGCAGGCAATGAATGAAGATTAAAACATCTTCTTCTTTTTGGTGGCTCATCCTCTCGGGACACTGGCGACAATCGACCTCCACAAAACCCGATCTTTAACACTTTGTAGTGGTTGAAATGTGGTGACATTCAACAGGTGACACAAGGACTTCACAAATGTGATTCGTTTCTGAGTCCGACCGAAGAGTAAAAAGAAAAACATTGCAATTGGTTGGCCGTTCTTTGCGCGCAAATTATTTATTCTGAATTTTGAATCTATGTAAATAACACGCACACATGCACACGCACACATGCACACGCACACATATACACGTACTCACACAGACACGAACGAAATATTTTATTCATACAGCTCTGTATATCGTCATTACACAAGTAATTCACTCGCATCTTGAGGTCTGAGTGAATGAATGAAGAACTAAATGAAAAAACGAATGAATGAGTGAATAAATAAATGAAAGAATGAATAAATGAGTGAATAAATGAATAAATGCATTGATAGCCTGTATAAGCTGAATTTTGTTTGTCTTTGCCTGTTAAATAGACATAAACTCAATGCACACGCGCACACAAATACAGACACATTCATACATATATATATATAAATACACACACACACATATATATATATATATATACACACACATACATTGTATATATCATATGATTGTTTATTTTTTGCTTTACACATTGCGTGCTATATAAATAAACTGTTTATTCGTTTCAGTAAGTTGTCATTAACTCTATATTCATATACACACACATACATACATTAACTCTATATTCATACACACACACATACATACATTAACTCTATATTCATACACACACACATACATACATTAACTCTATATTCAAATACACACAAATACATACATACACACATGCGTACACACACACACACACACACACACACACACACACACACACACATACACATACAAGCAGTACAATCTGTACTTCAAGGAATAAAGCGATTAACTTGAAAAAATTATGTCCCTGCACCTTTAAAAGGTATGAAAATTTTTTTGGATAATTGAGTTTATATTTTCATTTGTTAATTTATTATAATTATTATTTTAATTATAAATATTATTATATATAAACTCATTTGTTTATGTGTGTGCGCGCGTGTGTGTGTATAATTAGAAGTTTAATTTGTTAACACAGCAGGCCCTGTTATTTATATTATAAACAAAGTAAACCTGATGTGATAATGGTAATAACAAATGTTTGCAGTTTAGGAGTTATTTGATATAAGTATTATTATTACTGTTATTATTGTTACTGTTGTTGTTGTCGTTGTTGTTGTAGTCTTTGTAGTCGGAGTTGTTGCTGTTTCGTTTCGATATAAAAATTGTAGTCATAATAGTCAGTCCTAGATAGATGGATTTTCCATTCTTATAAATTTTAATTCAGCTTATTGGGAATATTACATCGACGTTACAGAGGAATCTGAGTTATCATAGGTTAATTATGTTACGTACATACGTAAAATATAGTTATTTACGCACACACACTCGCACACACACACGCGCACACATACACACACACATACACACGCACATACATACATACACATACATGTCTCATGCACCTTTGGATATAATGTGGGAAAGTCGATATTTGCTAATAATTTTTTTCTCATATTCTATCACATAACTTGCCTCACTGGAGTTTAGATACCTAGCGTATACCTAAAAACAGCAACAAGAACAGCTACTACTGCTGCTGCTATTGCTGCTACTACTACTACTGGAACTACTACTACTACTACAGCTACTACTACTACTACTACTTTTTTGATGGATTTAGTTTTATTCAAAAATGAATTACAATTATATCTTATTCAGAAAAGAGAACAAAGATCTGATGAAAAAACCTCCAAAAAGACGAATAAAAATTAACTTTTGACAAAACTTTTTCTACTGGTATCTGGTTGGGGATTAAACTGAAACATTTTTCCATATCATCTCACGGAGTTTTCCATCCATGAAGTTTAGATCATCGAAGCAACAGCTTGTTGCCATTGACGACAGCCACAACGTCAACCTAACGAAAGCTAACAAGGGAAACCCTAGCATCAATTCACAGTATATAGTTAATATTTCAGAAGATGCGACCACAACTTCTGCGGCTACCACCAATACCACTTCCGCTACTACTAATACTAATACTACTTCTACTACAGCTAATACAGCCAATTCCCCAGCTTCATGTTATAACGCAGGATCTGCTAAACTGTATACATCAAACAATACTACAAGTAGTTTCCTTAGGGAAGACGCAAGTTATGCCAGGAAAAGTGCTGAAACCAACTCTAGCAGAATTCCACTACTGCCAAAACTAACGATCGGAGATGAGAGTGAAACAAATTTGGATAACGCGGACGATGTTTTTAGTCCACTATCACATGACGGACATTATAGTCGCCACAATGTTCATCGCTGTGGTCATTCTGCTGCTGCTGCTGCTGTCGTGGTCGATGGCCATGCTCGGAAGATGGCGCACAGTGCAGCTAGTCCTCCATTTTATCAGGTTTGTCATTTTAATTTCGGCTTTCTGGTTTTAACTTTAAATGAATTTACGTTAAATTCATGTCCTTCGCTATTTTAAGGTTTGTTTTGGTTTTTGTCGTACCTTTAACAATTTGTTCCATAGCAACTTTATACACTACGAGAGTAGTAATGAGAATGCCTAAATTGAATAATCAAATTTAAAAAAATAATCGATGTTATAAACTTTCCGACGAATGCATACCGACAGACCACAAATACCGGCAGCCTCTCCAAAGTCGGTTCCGGATTAAATTTTCAACCGAATACTGGAAAAATCGCGATGCGAGGCCGACTTTTCGCTGGCAGGAGGACGGAGCGATTGATAGAAAAAGATGGGAGTTGTAGTGTCGTGTCAAAAAATGTTTCGTACAGTCAGAACAGTTTCTACCGCGATATTTTCACATCCCTGCTGGACATGAGGTGGAGGTACAACATGGTCGTCTTTGTTTTCGTCTTCGTCGGAAGCTGGTTTTTCTTCGCCATGCTATGGTGGATGGTAGCCTTCTTTCACGGTGATCTTCCAAACGATAAAGTAAGTTACGGTTCTAACGATACTCGAAAAGTTAATTTCAATGAAACTGTCGGTATCGGTGAAACGACTAGAACGATGACCGGTTACAATATTTCGGTTAATCACTCAAATAGTTACATCTCCTATACCACGGCGTCGAGCAAAAGCCAACTAGCCACTCAACGTTCAACAAACGACGGCATGATCAATGTACCGTGCGTTGACGGCGTCAATAATTTCCTTACCGCTCTCTTGTTCTCCGTCGAGACTCAGCAGACAGTCGGATACGGCACTCGTAATTTGAACAGCCACTGCACCTCTGCAACCATACTGCTTGTGGTGCAAGCTTGCATGGGAATTTTGCTGCAGTCCCTGATGACCGGGGTCGTGTATTCAAAGTTGTCGAGACCGAAGCACAGAGCACGCACGATGATGTTCAGCAAGTTTGCCGTCATATGCCAACGTGATGACCAGTACTGCCTGCTCTTCAGAGTGGGCGACACAAGAAAGTTTATACGTTTATATTTCTCATAATTGATTACCATTAATGTTGAAACAAAGGCAGTTATTTTATAGCGATTGCGATCAAACTCATTCAATATTATAAATTAAATTAAATTCAATTCAATAATAATTTCTTTTCAAAATATTCATAGTAAAGTAAATAACTACAAAAATTTTCAGATCCTACCTAATAGGCACCTCGATACGGGTTCTTCTGATCAAGTCTAAAGACGAATGCAGTTTCTTCTCAAACTTCCAACATTCTTTGGACCTGGAGATGGATCAGGATGCTCATGATAGCTCCATCCTGCTGATCTGGCCGGTGACGGTCGTTCATAAAATTGATGAGAACAGTCCGCTCTGGAATGTTTCAGTTGAAGATTTATTCACGGCGAAATTTGAGATCGTGGTTGTGTTGCAGGGCACGATCGAGCACACCGGCATGACCGCCCAACTCTGCACTAGTTACCTTCCTTCTGAAATACTTTGGGGCCATCGTCTGGCTCCGCTTTTAACCTATCAGAACGAAAATGGAAAATACGAAATCGAATTTTCAGAGTTTCACAAAGTCATTCCGGATAAAAATATGCCAGAATGCAGTGCGAGAGAGTTTGCTGACAGGAAAAAACAACTAAAAGAGAAGCCACCGAAAAATGATTTGGTCAGTTTCGCTACGATATTCAAGAGGCAGGGATCGAGTTTGTGGCCACGTGTGTTAAAGATGCTGAAGAAAGACAGCAGCCAGGTAGGAGTTAATAAAGATGAAACGGACTCAAGCAACCACCCCGAGAACGCAGATCGATCGGTAACTCCTGATAACCCACTGGCTACTGAAAAGAGATTTTCATTTAAAACTAATAAGCGGCAATCGATTGATATTTTTAATAAAAATCACCATCCGAGACACTCCATGAAAACGACTAGATCGTTATCTTTGAAGCATGAGATCAACGAAACCAAAGTATAACTGACCCAGTAAAATATTTTATACTAATTAATATTTAATTTCACGCTTAACTCTGAAAAATCATTGAATTTTCTTTATTAATTTTTTATACACAGTACAAATGTAGCTTGTCAAATGTGATATTTTTACTATTATAAGTTTCATTCAGATTAAAAACTACTAAAGTAATTTAACTTGCGTTGAAATTGAGTTTTATATGATGTTAAAAAAATTTTAGAAACTCCTAATTTTAATTCCTGAGGGAATGAATGAATAAATGAAAAAATAAAAAGATGGATAACTGATTGAGGGAATGAATAAATGATTGGATGAGGGCACGTGTTTGTGTACTAATTCTAAAATTAAGTATTCAATATATACGGAATGAGGAAATGAGTTAATGGATATGTGATTGACTATGTTAAAGGGTGTGTAAATGAACGGTTAAATGGATGACTGAATGACAGAATGAATGAAAAAGTAAAGGACAAAACTGAACGAATGAATGAGAAAAGGCGGAAATTATTACTAACCACCAATAGCGATCTTCAAATGAATGAGCCAACTACCTACTGTACTGTACTACTATAATTACTTCTTTGTCACAATCTCGCGCTAATTTTCCTAAACGCGCAAATAAGTTCCGTCATTTGTGTGTAATATCACGAAATCTGTCATTTCGATCATTATTTTTGACATTTTAACTATTATTTTGACTTTAATTCTTCAATTTATTCAAGAGAATATTGATACTTATGAATTAAAATTAATAAATAAACAAATCCGTATTTAGTATCTTCGTGTTATGTAAAGGACAAAGTTTTTATCTAAATATTTTTCAGAAAAAGCCTACAAAGGAAAAAATTTCGGAATAATTCTTCACTTTTCAGCAGGTTTGTTTGCCATTTTTATATTTAATAATTAAAATCTTAATTATTTGTTTTAATAAAGAAGAAAAATGGTGACTAATTGACGAAGTGCGATCTATTATTATGTGCTCCCGCTTGCTTCTTACTTTCTTAAGAACAAAACAATGAAACAATTTTTGGGGCCATTTTTAAATTTGATACTAATAAATTATCATCAATTAATTAATATTTAGTTAATCAATTAGTGACTAATTAGTTCACAAGTTAGTGCTAGTGAGATTGTTTTATAATTATCCTTTCTAAAGTTTAGTTTAGTTAGTTAGTTGGAATAAATAAATAAAACCATAGTTTCTGGTACTAAAATATAAGATAAAATAAAAGATAAGTAAGAAGAAGCAAGCATGAAATATAATTATTTCATTTAGTTAGTGATAAATTAGTGCTGGAGAGTTAATTAACCATGTTTTTTTTACTGAGATTCAAGCAGAGACGATAGGATTTTTAGATCTCTGGACGCAAAACGAAGATTGATTGATTTCTTTAGAGTTAGTTGGTTGAGTTGAGATTTACATTTTTTAAAATTAAAATTTAATATTTTGAAGTGAATTAGGAATCCCCATCAGATCCGTGTTGTTCGTTGTGTTATTGAAAATTTTTAATTTAATTAATTGATTTCTTTCTAGTGTTTTATCATCTGCTAACATACAATTTTTCATTTAGTTAGTGATAAATTAGTGCTGGAGAGTTTATTAACCATGTGTTTTTTTTACTGAGATTCAAGCAGAGACTATAGGATTTTTAGATTTAATTAATTTTTAAATGATAAATGAAAATGTTTTTCTTATATAGTTTTACAATTTACATCAGCTAGCTAATAATTAGTGACAAATTAGTGAAATGGTTGATATATTTTATTAGTTAATATTTTTGTGTATTTTGTAAGAAGATGTTTCAGTTTTTTCGGTTAAAAATCTGACATTGAAACTTTGAGATTGGGGTTAAAACAACAAAATAATCTTTACCATTAGTAAAGTTTCTGGTACTAAAATATAAATGCTAGCAATTTTTACTATAATCGTTTATGGTTTAAAAATTGTAAGAGAAAGATTTTAAAATGAAATACTGCCAATCGTTATTATGTTATATTATTATTTTAGATTTGTTTTATATAGCTACAATTATTATATATTTATATAATAATTATTACAATTATTGTTATATTTATAATTATTATTATATTTATGAAAATCTATTTCTAGTATAATATAATTACAGAAAATTATTTTATTTACTAGATTTTATGAGTTTCTTAGAAAGTTTTGTCATGATACAATAAGGAAGTAGCTTTATGATTTTCTCGCAAATGAATGAAAGAATGAATGAATGAGAGAAAAAATGGATGAATGAGTAAGTAAATGAATGACTGACTGAGTAACAAATGAGTGAATTAATAAAGGAATGAATGCATTTCAAAGTTAATTTTTATGGAAAAACATAAAGCTAAAACATTAATGTTAATTATGTTACTTTAACTTAATGGGCTCTTGCATTTCTTTATTATTATTCATTCTTTCAAACAATCATTTATTTATCTATTCATTCAGTCATATATTAACTGTTCATCTGTTGTTTGTTTGTTCATTCATTCATTCATTCATTCATTCATTCATTCATTCATTCATTCACTTGTTTTCAGTTAGTGTTTATCCTCATTATTAACTAGAGATTTTTAAGTATTTTTACAGCAACATAGCAAGGTAATAATGCTCACAGTTTAATAACCTGCCTTCTAACTCTATGTTAATAAATAACCTTTTTTAATATTGCACACATACACACACACGTACGTACACACACACATACACAACACACACACACACATAAACAAAATGTACACACACATATATGCACATACATTCACATATTCGCACACTTTTTTCATTTTTTACATACACATTCAAAAATTTCAAAACATTCACACATATATACAAAAATAATCTACTGACAAACATGCAAAACATACACACTCACACATACATAAACACATACACACACATACACAAACACATATGCACTTATGCCTTGTTTACTGTTTATCTCTATGCTGATAAAATCTTTATCACTCTTTTCTTGAGTAGTTAATTCACCTTTGTTAAATAATAATAATAATAATCATAATAATAATAATTATAATGAGAATTATAAATAATAACAATAATAATAAAAGGATGGCTATGATCATTGTTATAATAAACCAAGGTAACAAGAAATGGTAATGGCCAACAATGTTAGCTACAAAGTGAAACTGATTTTCTTGCTATAGATGCTGTCTGCAACTATTACTATTACCGCTACTACTATTGCTACTACTGCCGCTACTACAACTGCTGCTGCTGCTCTTGTGGCAGCCACTGTTACTATTTGTACTAATACTAAATACTAACTACTTAACTATTAAAAGTTCTAAATTGATGAGGATGATGATGAAAACAAATAAATACTACTACTACTACTAATACTACTACTGCCGCTGCTTCTACTACTATTAATAATATTTCAATAAATTAATAAAATAATAAGTAACCGAAGTATTAAGTACCAAAAAGCCATGATGAACACATAAATGATGCATATTCATTAGTTCACTGGCACAGACTTTCTAGGTCACCATGATGAATAATCAGGTCTACTCATTAATATTCATGAGCTCTTTGTTTACTTTTACATGCAACACTGTTGGAAGATGAGTGTGTTTGTATGTTTGAATATGTGTCTGTATGTGTGGCTGGGTGTGTTAGTTTGTATGAATGGATGTATATAAAAGGCGTTAGTGTGTGTATATATAGATATTTGTATATGTGAAAAGATGTTTGTGTGTGTGTATGTGTGTGTGTGTGTTGCATGTATATATGCTTAAATGTTTTTTATGCTTAGAAAAATTTCAACAGTATGTGTAAATGAGTGTTTTATGTATGTCTGCTTATAAATGTTTAAAGTACATACATACATATACAATACACACATACATACATTCTATACCCACATACATACTTACATTCATTCATTCATACATACACACATACAAAAATACATATATACATACATACAAACATACATACAAACATACATACAGTCACTGTTTATGTTTACAACATACTATGGATTGCTCACAGAGCAAGGTAGGAGGGGAAGAAAGAAAAGAAATCAAACAATGAATATGGAAGACTGTATGGTCTGTGTTCTATACTTGTATATATGTGTGTATATGTGTATGTATGTATTTATTTATGTATGTATGTATGCATGCATGTATGTATTGTATATATAATCCTATATGGTATACTTGTTGTGCATTGTGATATATTTAGCTTCTTTGGAATTCCCATAGACTTATAAATACATTTGTTTGTGCCAAGATGAGCATATGTATGCGTGTGTGTGTGTGTGTGTGTGTGTGTGTGTGTGTGTAATGTATATCTTATGTATATCTTATGTATACTATGATGATACGTGCATATATGTGTGCATTTATAATATGTATATCTATTGGAATATATGCTTGTATTTTTTTTATGTAAATGTATGTATGTATGTATGTGTGTATTTTTTTAGAATTAAATAAAATATTTTACGCGAAAATGTGTGTGCGAGTTGTGTGTCTGTGTGTGCGTGCCCATGTGTGTGTGTCCGTGTGCGACTGTTTGCCAACACTGTTGAGAAAGGATTTCAAGTGTGATTGCCTTTACAAATGCGCCTGTTCCATTTCCTGAAGGTATGAGTGTGTTTGTATAGGGGTGTCTGTGTGTGTGTGTGTGTGCGTGCGTGTGTGGGTTTATTAAGGTTGATTTTTTTTTCATCATTTGTTTGATATGTTAAGATATTTTTATGTGGTGTTTGTTCGTGGCAAATAGTTTATTTTTGATTGAACAAGAATTGTATATTTGTATTTTATTATATATATATATATATATATATATATATATGTGTGTGTGTGTGTGTGTGTGTGTGTGTGTGTGTTTGTATGTGTGTGTGCATGCATGTTTTTGTGTCTTTGCTTTAGTATGTATGTATGATGTATGTATGCTTGTATGAATGTGTGTTTGTATGTGTTTATACTGGGATGATTTTGTTCTAAAAATAAATTCTAGGACTTTTTTATGCTTATAGTTGGTGGTGCATCTTTTGGTGGCTTGAATGGCCCAGAGCCTGCTGGCTGTATGGCGTTTTTTGTTCTTGTTTTTTGTGGTTATTGAGATTTGCTGTCATGTTGACACATAAAAACGTTTCTTGTTTGTTTGTTTGCTTGCTTGTTCGTATGTATAATTTGTGTATATGTATGGCGTTTTTTGTATGTTTGTTGTTTATATGTATGTATGCATGTACTATGGTTTTTATATATGATTATGTTTGATGTTTGTTTGTTTGTTTGTATGTATGTATGTTTTGTATGTTTGGTTGGTTGGCTGGTTGTTTGCTGGTGGGATAGCCAGAACTTTGGCTCAAATGTTCAGTAAAATTTATTACTCTCTAAGATGTGTTTCTATTATATTAATGTTGCATTTGTTCTATTTTTTGTTTTGTTTGTGTGTTTGTGTGTTGTTTCTTTGTGAGTGTGTATATAGCAGAGATAAGATTAAACAAACAAATAGATAAACTAGCTAATTAATTAATTAATGTATTTTTTCCTTTGTAGTGATGATAATAATGATAGAACCAGTAATAATTGCACTAAACATTCATGTAACTGTATGTGTTCACGTGTGTGTGTTGTTTCTTTGTTTGTGTGTGTGTGTGTATGTGTGTGTATGCAAGGTATGTACTGTGTTGTGTATGCTAGTATGTATGTGTACGTATGCATGTATGTACGTATGCAT